TCAGATCAATATGAGCGTCGAATAATTATTTCATAATATTTTTGATATTAATTTTTAAACTGCCATTTCCTATAACAAATAAAGAGATGGAATTTTTTAAACATTTTTCTCGTTTTGAAGAGCTGTAAGTGAAAAAATGTGAGCAAGTTAGAAACAAAATTGCTCGAAAGTTCGCCTCCAATAAAAAAACCAAAGGCAAGAGTTGCAACTGATTCGGAAGATGAAGCGGCTGCTATACAAGAAGTTACCGAGAATCCTCATGTGTCTCAAGAATTCTGCAAGCGAATGATTTCCATCCATACCATTTAACTATGGTTCAACGCTTATCTTTGAAGGTGTTAAGTTGAAATCAGACTCTAATAACAAATTTGGTACCATTTAGTGATAGTGAAAATACGAACATGTAACAAACCAAAATTTAAAGCTGGCGGTAATGACGTCCATATGACGTTACACAAAATGTTCAATATCATACCATGTCATCTTGTACCATAGTTGGTACTACACTTTCTTGCAGCGGATTTAAATAGTGATTGTAATTTAATCGGTTCGGAATAAAATATTTCCCAATGGTATAATGACCAAATATTTTTTACGGTTTTAAGAGAAAATAATTTAACAGACCTCGGCGAAAGCACCACTCCTGTGTCTCGAGAACTAATTCATCTCGAGGCTGTGCCTCTCGGTAACCTATAGTTTTCTCGACAGGAATCGATTACTTTCCGCCTCGGTATGTAATATACTAATATATGTACTATATAATAACACCTTCATTTATTAATATTACTTAAAAACTATAGGATAACTGTCCGATAGGATCATCAAAGATTATTTTCATTTTTAAAGAGCACTACATTAATGTCTTACCTTGGCCGTCAAAAATCCCGACTTAAACTTTATCGAAAACAAAACAAAATCAATTCGAACTGAGATAAAAAAATTGCGGATACGTAACAACAAATTACACCAGAATATACTCTACAGTTAGTTTTATCAATGCCGGAACGATTACAGGACGTAATTATCAAAGGTGGTGAAACATCCAAGTTTAGTATTTAAAGCTGTCATTGCTCATTTAAATTAAAAAGTGTTATTGCTTGTTTTCTGGTACTCCATGATTTGTGTAAATTTATTTCATTTTCCCTTTTTACTATCGTTACTTATGTTTCAGTTACAAATTTTAATTCTATAAACATATCGGATCGATGCTATAAAGAATGATATAAAATAGACAGGTTTATCAAATCTGCTTTCTTATGAGGCTTTAAGAACTTAATAGATTACACCTATGATAAAACTATCTATTAATGCATTACCTATTGATGCATTCAACTCATATTTGTGCATTTTTTTTGTAACCTTTCAAATTTGACACTGACAAATGTTTAACACACTTACATACATGACATACCCGATTTATCCTCAGTGACAGTGGCTACATAAAAATTGAATTTTGGAATTGTTTGCGAAAGCATACTGTCTTAGAAGTTTTTTGAGCGCATGGTACCTTGCGTTTCAAACCGTTGTAGGAATCTTTCGATTGTTGATGGTTTGGAATTTGCGCGGCAAAAGATCCTGAAATTTCCAGGACCGCCGTAGTACCATTTTACTCATTTAACTTTCTCATCTAAGGTATAATTGATTTTCAAGGATAAAAGGCGCAAAATTCAGTAGTTAGTGACAAATTAATGAACTGTCAATAAATTATCACGTTCCATCCCTAGTACCAATTTATCACCAATCGTGAATTCTTTTTAACTCCCGATTGAAAAGGAGGGGTGTTTTGATCCTTTTGCCTCTATGTGTGTGGCTGTGGCATCGTAGCTCCCAAACGGAACAACCGGTTTGAATGTGGCTTTTTTGTGTAGAAGCTGCCTACTTTTAACATTGAAGCATTTATTTGTTTGCGGATTTGTCTGTGGCACCGCAGCTCCGAAACGGATGAACCAGTTTCAATGTGGTTTCACTGTTTGAAAACTGGTTCACTTGGGAAGGTTTTTGCCAGTGTTATTTGATGAATAACTCATTTTGCATCGTCTTGGAGGGTGCCGAAAAAAATAACAGTAACTACATATGTAGACTTCAAGTAGGCTTCCCATATATGACGTTTCTATAATGACAAGTCATTCTGTTGTAATTCTTCGTTTAAGAATTAATTGAATAGCGTGTCGAGTGATTTTTATTTAGAAACGGAAAAAATTGCAATTCGCAGTGTGATTCAGTTCTCTTTTTAAAGGTGAAAATTGGGGAAAAAAGATGAAAATATTTTTCCTATTGTACATTCTTCTTATTCGCCTTTGGGTTAATGAGTTCAAGGGCAGGAGAACATCCGTTGAAGACGCACCACGTTCTGGAAGACCAAAAATTACCGTCATATTACGAGTAGAAATCAATGACAAAGTTCATAATAGGGTTTTGGTCGACATAAATGTAGATGCGTGAGTTAGCCGAAGCTGGAGGCATCTTAATTGAGAGAGTACATTGTATTAACTAACCTCCAACGCAATGATGGAGAAATCAGCGTTCTTAATCAATGTCAGACGTTTAAGGTTTTTTTTTTTTGTCGGGGGTTTTTAAGTATTACACTTGTTACTTAATTTCATTACTGAACGTAACCTAAGGAAGGACATACATATATAATACAGTCCATCCCACGAATCGCTCCTTTCAGGTTTTCCTGACATATTATGACTCCTAGAGTCCTAGAGTACGAAAAAGTAGGCGTCCCGTTTCCGTCTGTCTGTCGTCTGTTTTATCTGTCGCTGACGAATCGGGGGGCGCTAAAAACTTGTCGAAGAATTTTTGTCTGCAGGACTTCTTACCGATGAAATTGGGTTTCAGAAGGCTCGTAGCTCCAAGCTACTGAGCATAAGACATGATGGGGTGAATAATTGTTCGATAGAAAAGAAGTTTGTTCTTAATCCACATCTTGCTGCACCTGTCGATTAGTGCCACCAGGACACCTTTGATTTTATTCGTCTTGGCTACGCCAACGATACACCTGCGAGGTGGCACTTCTAAACAAGTTCCTCATGCCAGATACTGTCGAAAGCTTTGGCTACATCGAGAAACACTGCGCCTATGAATTAATACTATTCAGTTGACTTGGCTACAAATTCTATGACCCGAAGAAGTTGTTCGGAGGTGGAACGGTGGGGCCGAAAGCCGAACTGCTCGTCGGCTAATTCGTTCAAGACTTTGGCAAGCCGTTTCCATATAACCCTGTCAGCTATCTTCCCCAGTGCTTTGCTCGGGATCTGATAGGGACTTACGGCTTTCCTCAGCTTAAAACTTTGGATGATGGCTCGGACTTCGTCGGGATTGGTTTCGCTGATGAATTCATAGTCGTCAGATTCTTCCTTTTGAAAATCTTCGACGAGATCCATGTGTTCGTCGTCTACATCAGGATCGATGTTCGTCTGGCACTAGTTCTCCAGACTATGAGTGAACGCGGCAGCTTTGTGCTCTTTGAAGACGATGCTGCTGTGAATCAGTGGTAGTCGTCGCTTCTCAGCGCTTTGGCCATTTTCCGCAGCGATTGATCCTCGGTGTTAAGGGACTGAAGTCTTTGTGCCCACTGTTCCTTCCTGACATCGAACAGTGCTTTCCGGATTTCCTATTGGAGGCGGTTCGCTACAGCCTGCTCGACTCGTTCTCCGGTTCGTCGTGCGATTCGTCTCGTTCTATTATTTTCTCTGATCAGGTTTACGATACACTGTGGTAACGGAGGCCGTTTGAATGGCCGTTCAGGGCATCGAATCGGGGCTGCGTCGATTGAGGCTCGGATACGGTTTTCATAGTCCAGAGTTGGTTCCTCGATTTGTTCGATACTCTAAAAATTCGTGTTAAATTCACCAAATTTACCTCTGATATGCTCGACGAATTTCATCCAGTTCATGGTTGTGATTGTGTCCAGTGTGGGTTCGTTGAGATCGTTCCCCAGAGGCATTTTCACCGGAAGATGATCGAAATGGAACTCGTCAACCACGGTTACATCCACTTCGTGCCAGAGATTCTTGACGACCGCGATGTTCAGGACGTCACCTGGAGCATCCGATCGATTTCGGGGGTAGTGTATTGAATCCTTTGTGGAGATGATGTCCACTTCAGCCCTCTACACAAGTACTTAATAAAATGCTAAAAACATACTTGACAGCCCAGCAATAATTACGGACGACATTCGCTTATCTTTATTAAACAAACACAATTATTAATTGTTAATGTTACTCCTAATATTTACTTTACAATTATTAATTACAAGCTCAGTCTTTTTTTGACAAACAGTTGGCTATTTTTGAAAAAAATTAATGAACTAGAGATTGAATATTCTTACTACCTCCTTCGACCTTGATGATTCTAAACATCTATTTATTTTTAGATGGAAACGCGCTCGTTATGAATAACTGATAACACATCCATACGGTGAAAAACGGTTATGTTGCAAATCTGTTTAAGCGAAAAATAGTATAGGCACAGCGGGTGTTAAGCCTTTTTAAATGTCTCGGGTGCATGGTGAAGCTCGGCCTAAAGGTTTCGGTCAAACAAATTGTATATATAGCTTGCCATCCTAGATACCCAATATACTATAAAGTGAAAATTTTTGCAAATTTAATTAACAGAATTGTGAACTTTCAAGATTATAACAACCACAAAAAGTTAAAATTCGGAAAAGAACAGGAAAAATGTTTTTGAACCTTGCAAGGTATATTATGTGAATAAAAATATGCAGTTTTTAGAAGTTAGTTTATATTTAAATATTCATTCAAAACGAAATAATAATAAAATCATTAAATTATTACTAAAATCTAATAAGTTTTAAATATAGCCAACTGACTAATCTAATCGTGTCTAAAACAGCTAGTGGTTTCGATAGAAACATATACATTCATTCCTTCATATTAAACCCTTCTATGAGTTTAGAGTTTGTTTTATTTTCATATAACACCTTTAATACAGCAATTATTAGTACGTTCATTAATTTTCTTATCTTTAATTTTTAGACTACTATCGAATGGCATGGAAATCAAGGAACGTCGATGGAAGGTACCATCGCTGTTCTGGTTACCCCTTTTCGCTTTCGGCGCATTGTTGTTCATAGTAGATGTCTTCCAAACACAATATAACATAAATCCTGTAAGACTACAGGGGGAGGAAGTAGTTTTTGACCAAGACTCTCTAAAAGGATTCTTGATTAAAACACCCGGATGTCGAATACCATATATGGATCCATTTGATCATACTGTAAAAGAATTCATTCATAAAGAAAAGAAACCTGTATGCAACGGAGGCATTCCAGCTTTATTTGATTCGAATCTGACTTCGATATATTTGTTGAATTCTTCCTTGGCGAATTATACAGACCAAAATGTGAGTGTATTAAAATGTTGCTACCAACCATTTCACAGACAAGAACCCAGCGAAGATGATAATGACAATAAGATACAGTTTGACGAGAAATGCATTCCGTTCAATATTACTGCAACAATAACAGACGAGTTTATTAAAGTCGTGTGCCATATAAACAGAGCTATAGTTTACACTGACTTTTTTTCTTTTGTTCCGATAAAGACTAAAAAGGTGAAATTCGAAACTAAACCCGTAAATATTTTGATTATTGGTCTAGATGCAGTTTCTCGACTCAATTTTCATAGACAGATGCCAAAAACCTCAGAGTATCTAAAGAACATCTCATCAGTAGAACTTTTGGGTTATAATAAAGTTGGCGACAATACATTTCCCAATTTAATGCCGGTTTTAACGGGTTTATCTGAGACAGAACTTCAAAAAGTTTGCTGGAATGCTGACAATAACCATCGTTTCGACAATTGTCCGTTCATTTGGAAAGAATACAAATCTAAAGGATTCGTTACGTCGTTTGGAGAAGATTCGTCTTGGATGGGTATTTTTAATTATATGAGAAAAGGTTTTCATGAACAACCAACCGATTACATGTGGGGTGCTTTTAATAGAATATCAGAGAATGCAATTGGAAATTCACATAACATGAATGTAGAAGAATGCGTTGGTGCCAGGCAAGTCTATAAAGTTTTTTTAGACTACATAAAAAAATTTGTTACTAAAATGGATCTAGAAGAACGTCCCTATTTTTCGTTTTATTGGGGAGCAAGTTTAAGCCACGATTACTTGAATAAACCACACTTGGGTGACAAACATTATTATAAGTTTTTCAGAAAATTGAAAGAAAACGGACATTTAGACAATACTATTACGATATTTATGAGTGATCATGGAATCAGATGGGGCGATATTAGACAAACTTATCAAGGTCAGATGGAGGAGAGACTACCTTTTGTCTTCATAGTGTTACCTGAATGGTACAAAGGACAATATCAAAACGCCTATAATAATCTCTTGAGAAATACACGACGTTTAACTACTCCATACGATCTGCACGAAACACTGAAAGATTTTTTAAATCCTGCAATTTTACACGAAGCTTTGGAAAAAAGATACCAGGACAGTCCCCGTGGTTATAGTTTGTTTTGTGAAATCCCAGCGAATAGGACTTGCAAAATTGCCGACATTGCTAGTCATTGGTGCACGTGCCAACAAAGTGTAGAAGTTGAAAAAAATAGTAGTTTAGTAATAGAAGCTGCAAATTTTGCAGTTGATTATATGAATCAACAATTGGAAGGATACGCACAGTGTTCTGAGTTGACTATGAATAACATAACAGATGCTCGTGTGATGACACATAATGAAGATATCTTGGGCGGAAATGAAATAAAAGATTTCATGATTATTTTAGAAACGGTACCTGGCAATGGAGTTTTCGAAGTCACTTTGAGGAATACGATAGGATTTAATAAAACAAATCAGTTTGAAGTAATGGGCACAATTAGTAGATTAAATTTGTACGGAAAACAGAGTGCATGTATTACAGATTTTCATTTGAAGTTATATTGTTATTGTAGAAGTTTATTAGACTTGGGTAATTGACAAAACCAGTATATAAAATAAATGGAAAATTACCTATAGAGCATAAGCTTTCTACGACTACCTACCTGCCTGTGATGTTTTCAAACAAGTGTTGCTACTACACTCTTTGTCACAAATACTATTAAAATTGAATATTGTGCGTAAGTTAAATATTAAAGGTATAGTATGTAACAACAATGTAACATCCAACCCATTATTTTTGTGAATGTTGACATAATCAATTTTCGGTGTAGTTTTATGTCAAAATGCAAAAAATCTTGAACTAAAATTACGGAATCGTTCGATTACATTATTTTGGAAGAACTTGGCAATTTCATGAGTTTTGTGATAAGTGATTTTGTTCTCTAATTATAGCACTTACGTGTATAGTGATCTTTATTTAAATATGCTAATAGTAAATTAATTACAAATACGGTAGTGAATTTTGACATTCTTACCAAATTTAGATTGTGTCAACACTGTTTATTTTGAAGTCATAAGCAGGGTTCAATATTTGTACAATTTGTATGAAGGCAAACATGAAATTTGTAAACTGCATTATGCCTTCCTGCCTGTATTACATAGATTTCTAACTTGTAGATAAAATTTCAGTGTTTAGCTACTAAGACACGACATGTGATATAGATTAATAAGTTGTTCAATTAACCTTTGTGTACAGGTAAATTTATTATTTTTATTTATTGTTGCTACTTATTACTGTAGTCGTTTTTATAAACATGTTTTCAATAAAAATTTGTTTTAATAGTCTTGATTTTTCAAATCTTGAAATGTACATAACATATTTACAAAAAAAAAAACATAATAATAAATAAGGTACGCTCTGCTTTTATCGTGAGAGGAACATTTCGGCAAATATCAATTTTTTCTTGATGTTTCATCTATCACAAAATACAAAAATACAGATTTTTCGTTTCCACGTATTTGTCGCCTATTCAAAGACTTCAAGGTAATCTGGAAAATGACCGAATCTGCCTAAAATTCTAGCAATTGATTAAAGTTGCATTGTACATATCAAAACTCATATATGCTTATTCGATTTTCATATAGTCGCGAAATTTGAAAATTTAAAATTAACCTGTAATTTTTAGAAGAGTAAGAACTGATTATCAGAAATTGGTGTCTTGGTTATGTTGTGACTATTTCATTATTAAAGAAGCAACAAGCTTGGCTGACAAAACTGTTCATTAGTTTGAGAAATAGGCACCATATTTTCATTTAAATGTTAAATAGACTCCGCTGGTACAAGCTCTTCGGATAGTGCTTCTAGTGCATTCCAATCATGAACAACTCTGGTAAAAATTTTTGTCTCACTAATTTGAATTTCAAAGGATGATCTTCAGTACGTCTTGATACAACAATAAGAGGAGATCAATTTTTATTTGGAGAATGGGCACCACTTAAAGCTTGACATGTATGATAAGTAGTTATTAAATCACCACGTTTTACAATCTGTCGATAAGAGGACAAAAATTCATTACAACAAGCCTATTGCAACACGGAGGTTAGTTTCTAACCACCGTGGTTTGTACTGAACGAAATTCTGATAGCCCTTCGCTGAACCAATTTTAAACGCAAAATATCCCATTGGAGGACAGGAGTTCAGACTTTTTTGGCAAACTCCAGTAATGGTCTCACAAATGTTTTAAAAACTTTTGTAAATACGGAGAAAAAATTTGCTAACGCATGTGGAATACTGTTCCGTTATTTCCTTTAATAAAATTATTATGATTATTATTGGCTATTCTTACTTTTTAATATATGACCGTAAATATTATTCAAAAGATCGAGCATCACTTAATACTGCAAAAATTAAACTTTGGTATGACGAGACCTTGCTCGAGTGGCCTAATTTTGTAATTTTTTGTTTAATAATTCTTTTGTCGTTTTTGAATTATTAAAAGATGGCAGCACGTATGGTACCTCTTGGACAGGCCATAATCTTTATACTAGTCGGCCATGGTTGTTTTTGTGCTACAGAAGTGATAAATGCACAGTACAGCCAGTGGAATAAATAGTTTATCGAACATACCATCAGTAGTAGCAGTTTTTTTGAAATTACCAGAAGCAGACTTGTACACAGGACACAGTATGAGACGCACATCAGCAACTTTACTATCTAATGTTGGAGCTGATCTTGGTATGCTCCAACGTCATGGCCGATGGAAATAGACAAACGTGGCACAAGGCTACGTTGAAGAGTCAATTTCCAGCAAAATGACATGGGAACAACATTGAAGTGACAAACAAAGAAGCAAATAATGTTTTATCTTTCAATATATATATTATTAATCTGAAGCTGGACAAATGATTCATATAATTCTAATTTTATGTATTAGACTTCTGTGTGTTCAATAAATTGTTCAATTTTCTCTAAACTGTTTAATTATGAAAAAACAGTTTAATTATAAATTCATAATTCCACTAGTGACTTATGGGCCTTCTAATGTGTCCAAAATGGACAATTTTATGAGCTTATAATCAAGAGGTGTTGGATAATAGCTATTTATGGTATAATTGAATAAAAACTAATTTTATCCAACGAAAAAACAGTTAGCACACGAGGTGAAGCCAAGTGTGACAATGTTTTTGAGTGGATAAAATTCGTTTATTCACGTGTATCATAGAATATTTTTTCCAATTTCGCAAAATTTAAAAAAAAAATATTGTTTAGCTAATCGATTTATATAAATATTAATTAGCCAAATACACTGACGTCATCCGAGGTCACCAAGATGGCAGCGTTTGACAACTAGCCAGTTTTCTCATAAGAGTCAATGCTAATATTTTCGGAATTCATTTAAATTTGAGAGTGTGTCAACTGTGTTTTTATAGTTTGGTAAGTTTGTTACAGTTTCTACACTGTGTAGATATCTGTAAAACGCACCATAACGTTTGAATAGGCTTAAAAAATAATGTTTTCCAATGTGATGTACAGGTTAACTTCGCTGCATTTTATATCATTTGTTTTGCAAATTAATTCTTTGTTAATGTACATCAATGTTTTTTTAAATACACTAGCATCTTAATATTATAATATTTTGCATTTTAGGAGAAAATGCCTAAATTTTGTGCTGTTGTGGGTTGCGCGAATCGAAGCACCAGAAATGCGGACAAATTTTATTTTCCTTTCCCAGCAATTAGCAACAATAAAGGTAAATATATACAGGATGGGAGAAAAAAGCGGAAGCTTTGGTTAAAAGCCTTAAAACGAGTGGATTTAACGAAGCCAAAGTAAAGTATTCCTATGTTTGTTCGGATCATTTTATTTTAGGTACAGTAACTACCTATTAGATTTACAGTTTCTAATAAATTACTACATTGGTGCTCTTTTAGATGAACCTGCAGATTTGTCGGATGTGGACCATCCTGATTATGTTCCATCACAAAATTTAGGATATCAAAATAAATCCACTCATAATACTTGTAATGTTGAAAGACACAGTCGTTTAAAAAAGAGAAAACTGAATAAATGCCTCTAGACTTTTATTCAAAAGTATAATAAATAATCGTGCATTCGCACGAATTTCATTGTGGGTTATTTTACTTATTCCAAAAATAAAAAAGTTTAGAATGGTATTCATTGTTATGGTAGGGACATCGTCTAAACACAAATTAAAATCACTTGCACTCATTGTATAAGGATCTCCGCCGTTTAAATTGTTTAACTTTTGTACATATCTGTTTTTCTCTTTGACAGAAAGACATCGTGCATAATCACTTAAATTATCCATACTTTAAAAACAAATCACACACCTTCACTTAAACCCGTCACATTAACCTCAAACGAAAATATTAATTTCCGATTTACCGCTTGAAACACACGGATGTATTTTGGGTGACGAGGAATTCAGACCAAAACAGCGTTCTGTATTTTTATTTTTATTACGTATTTTTAAACTCAAATCGCCAAAAAAAGCACCCTGATACACAGAAAAGATATGAAAGAAGCTATTCACGTGTTTATTTTCTAGATAAATACCTACACTTTTAAATGAAATGCGAAAATGTTAACATTGCCACTTATGGAGTTTCACGGCGCTTGTCAAACGCTGAGTTCCCGCCACAGCGTGACGTCACGTGTTATTGGCTAATTGTACTATTACTAATATGATGAACATTTAAAGAAGGTAAATTGCCTAAGTTGCCTGTACTTTCGTCGCGGTCAAATTCAAAGAATGTTCCTGGTCTTTCATTAGGATTGTGGACCATCAAGCGTTGCAAATTTTAGTTGAATATGTTTACACATCCATAGCAACGAAAATTTCAGTGGTGATGCGATTTTTAGTTTTTTTACTTTATTCGTGTTGTCAATAACAGTGCGAATAAAGTGTTGCTATGAACATTTTATTCATCCTTTCGATGAAACTATTGTTTTAATAGCGAGATAGAATACAAAATGAGCATTTTATTAGTAGAAATTGGAAAAAAAAAATAAGCATTCACGTTCGGTAGAAGTAACTGACAGAAACTTTTCTGTGGTTAAGTTGCAATCTTAAGATCACTAGAAATTTAAGATTGGCATCAACTGTCTAATTTTCTAATTCAAATGTCAAATCTGAATTGTGTGGAAAAAAAACGAAGTTTTTCTAATTTCAACTTCGTTTCAAGAAAATCCTTAAATACAGCATGGAAACAATTTCCATAAAAGTAATCACGAGAAACCTCATTTTAAAGGAAAAGAAACAAGAAATATTTCGTGGTTTTCAAAAAATTGGGTAAAACGGAAACAGTTAAACTGGTGGCAGAAATATTCTCCGTAAAGTTCGCTAGTGTTGTCGAGTGTTTTTCGAATTTTAAAATAATGCAGATACAGCGGCGCTTGTGCCGTTAATATTATAATCAGAATCAGAAAGACGACTGCGCAGATTTATATACCTACATGCTTTGTTGGTTCCGTTCTACAATTGGTTTTTAAGTTTTATATAATCGTTATTGTTTTGTAAGAGGTAAAACACTCGGCTTTGAAAATAATTGTACGTAATACACGTATAAATTTAGGTTTCCGAAGGCGAAGTTTTTCACATTTTAAACACGTTATAGCTGCCAGAATCAAATTTCTAAGGCGGTACACCTATCTCCAATTGCGTGATTGTGGTGAAGATTTACTTTTCATTTTCTTGGATGAGACATGGATATATCAGAACGGATCCATGGTGAAATTGTGGATCCATGATGATGACATCAAAGCCTGTCCTCCTAAAAAAACTAGTGAAGGGAAAAGATTCAAAATTCATGCGGGTTGCTCTTTGGGCTTTTAGAGGGATGCGATTTTCTCCTTGGTTCAAAAATAGATTCACCATATTACCACAAAACCATCACATTTTCGATATTTGACCTTTACTTACTTACATGTCACATTTTTGATACCTACTTTCTGACATTCCAGTAATACATTATACACTAGAACAATTATGTCCGCAGTTACACAGCTTAAAAAAAAAAGTTACCAAATCTAGTTACATCTACCGAACGTGAATTCCTTATATGTATTGGTTTTATATTAAACGTGTAAATAAAATAATTGAAAAAAGAAAACAAAAGGTTGTATTGCCCAATATTCCCCCGCCTATCGCGGTAATATCAGCCGGGTTTTAGTGCAACCTGTACCTAAAATAAGTTAGCAACAATGATCGCAAATGTATTTTGTGTGGGCTTAATCGGTGCACGCTTTGTGTGCCCATTCTCTACATATAAATGAATGTCTAATGATTTCTGCAGATTCTTCTGTTTCACGTATGTCTGCT